TTTGAGGGGTGGGGATACGGCGTGAATTTACTGGGTACAGAGGAATAACATCTGAGTCCTCATGAATGGCAACGCATGGGGGGTATCATGGGCGAGACAGTACACTCTGTTATGTCCATGGTACTGCTCATGTCTATAGGTGACGGTTACTACTTTCCATGAGATGGACCGTCAGCTTGTTTGCCATTCTAAGTTGTATAAAAAAAAAACTAATTTTATAACTGTCACATACTATCCTGTCATTGTTATAAACCTGAGAGTCTGTGAGAATATAATAAGGATGTTTGCTATTTTTTTTTTGCTTCTTGAACTTCGGTCACGTCATGAGGAATGAAAAGTACAGAACACTTCAATTTTCCAGAGGGAGACTTTGTACAAAAGTTTGTATTGTGTCGTTTGCTTGGGTACCTCTATCCCATTCGTAATTCAACCGTAAAACAGTTGTATTTGCATGCTTGTGTTTCGGTTTGAAGAGTGGGATATGGCAGTGAAGTGAAATGAAAAAAGAATTATATAGATACTAAAGTATATAAACATACATATATTTAATAGCACACGTACAAAAGAAGAGAATGACGAAGGAAAATGAAGAGAGAAGACAGGAAAGTAATACTAAAGGGAGAGATAGTAATATTTGAGGTTTTGAAACAGTGAGAGTTTCAGAATATTATAGAACGAATCGGAAAGTATATCTTAAAAGATAAATAGAAAATTATTTTTCAAAACGGTTTCAAATGACAAATTCGTCATTAAGTTAATAAATTTAATAAATTAATTTTTTTATTTATTAGATCCACTAGGTGAGCCTTACAGTCTTCCAATACGCTCACCCAGGAAAGCATAAGTACAATAACATATAAGAAGGAATATTACAAAAAAATATTAAACAAAAAATAATATAGAAAGATTTAACTGAAACAAAAAACGTCTGAACACAAATACTCTGTGGTCACTCGAAGAAACTCCAGCAAGTTGGAGGCGAATACATCTAATTGCGGATACTGGCTCAAAATATCATTGAGTAGTTTCAATGCAAGATAGGGTAGCCTGCTTCGCGAACTCTGTTCTTTGTAGTGGAACATCGAATAAGTGCCGTCGACGTGCTCGCACGTAGTTCGCACTGGGCGCTCCTATTCATATTGTTTCCAGTACAGTTTGGTTACGTTTTTACAAATATACCAACGATTCGAGAAACTTCTTTTTTTAAATCGATTGCTGACAAACAACAGAGTAATCAATATACTGCCAACTGCTGCGGTTTGAAATTTAAAAGTCACTTTCATGGTTTGTGCCAAAGAATATTTCATGAAATTTCAACGGGCATGAGATAACAGTTGGACGAAGTTGCTATAAATAGAAAGTACAAGTAGATAATTGCTTCATAAACGTAAACGAATCCTAGAAACTCGCACCCTACCCCAACTTCAAGTTATCTTAGTATCATATTGGGGCCATTAGGCTCTTTAGATCTGAGAACTAGCTTAACTTAACGAATTACCGAGATTAAACTGTGAAAGTGAACTAACAAGTCATACGTGGCAGCTAATCATTTATTATGCGAGTTCAAACTTATTTCTAGTTTTGACTTTGAACATTATTTCACGTCTTATCTCTGACTTTATATTTTAAGCCAAATATTATACAGAGTGGAGTTAAATTCGTTAGCATATTTTGACAATTCTTTAAGGAAAAGTAAACATTCTTACCAAAGGAATATGGTTTCATATGAAATGACATGTGGCCCCGGCACAGAATCGACTGCTTCTTCTTTTCACGTGGGTGTCGTATGAGACGACTATGGGGACTTAATAGCCGAGGGATGGGGAGAAAGGGATTGTTAGCAATGGAGTTTGACAGCCCCATTGCTAGCAATATGCCTTATTAGGTTGACCTCCAAGTGGTTCCCCCTGGAAACTATCGTGAACAATTCTTGTTGAATTCGTCACGATGGGCTAATTGACCTGCTTTATGCCTCGCCTATCATCCTTCACTGGTGCCCCGCCGGTGTATACCGATAGCGCGGGTGGAGTTACCATTCCATTATCATCCATTAAAAATAAAAAAATAGTCGAGGGATGGGATGATAGCAACGTATATTTTAAAATGTCACTAAAGCCTAACTGCGGTTGCCAACCTGCCTGCCAAGTGTGAAGACTACTGGCAACCCCTCCCCCCCCCCCCCTCCCCCAATTAAGAACAGGTTTATGTTCAACAATAGTCAGTTAAACGCTATGATTATTTCTAATAATTTATATTATAATTTTTTAATTTTAACAAAAATTCACATCTCCCCTCTTAAGGAGAGGAGATGGCAACTAACTCCCGGCAGAAGCACAGTCGGCCGGGGTTCAGGGCTCCAGGGAGAGAAACCAGCGTACAATGCGGGCAGTATCTAAGAGCACCGCTTTCTGCATCTTTCCCGGGGGTGAGCTGCCTCGGAATCCCAACCGTTTGAGATGTTGTTCCAGACTGGTTGGGATAAGATCGTTCACCGACAAACGATTGGAATGATTTATTATTATTATTATTATATGTTGTTAAGACCGTCATTTACTTTTTCTAGATGTATTCAAGTTTAATAAGTAAATAAATATTAACGTAGTGCAATATTTAATAGATAGGAAACAAGAACAAATCGTGACCAGCAGGGGGTCTAACATGAAATGAAATTCCGAATTTTCGGGCTCAATTGCGTGTTTTTGTTCGTACCGAAATCGACCCTGTAAATGGAGCTTAACGTTTCATTTGTCATAAATCCTACCATAAAAGTTCAAAGGAACGATATTTTAGCATTTTTAATATTTTTAAACGGTACGTATCATGTAATTTTAGCATCAAATTTTTGTTTCGTTCGGATCCGAAATTTCGGAAAACATTTCATGGTAGGCCCTCTGCATTATTGTGTAAATCTAGCTTTACTATGTACTTGTAAGAATATATTGATTCTATATAAATAAGGATTCGCAAAACTCAATACGTACTCTGAAACCTTATGAAACTGTATCTTCAGTTTTCCTTATAATCTGACCTATAATTCCTTATAATTTTGAAATTTTTTGTATCTATAATAAGTTTATTACTGTAATCTTTTGAAGGAAACAATGAAGAGCATCTATCTATCTATCCTTGTCGTATGGTCCCGGAATAGAATAGGTCCTCTCTTCCTTTCCTGTGGGTGTAGTAAGAGGCGACTAAGAGAGGGCGAGGGATGCCCATCCTAAGAGAGCTAAGAGATAGTAGCGTCCCTCTTAAAATATCTCTAAAGCCTGACTGCTATTGCCAATCCACCTGCCAAGCATGGCAACTGCTGACAACTCACCCCCCCCCTCAAGGGGAAGGCTTACTATCAGCAGTGGACAGTTAAGGATTGATATGATGATCTATCTATTTACAAAACTGCATACATCGACAGATATATAGTGTATTTGCTTTTATATAAACTTTGATCATTCAACGTTAAAAAATAATTAAATGAATCATCTTTCGAGGCTCTTCAAACCTTCTTTGAAGTGTTACTTAAAGAAAAATCTCTCAGTTAATTTATGTAAATTTAGTTAATAGACTGCCCCTCTCAACCAATTTACAAACAAGAGTACTATGACCTCTATTAGCTATATTTTTTTAAAGAACGTCAAAAATAAGGATGCTTTGAATTCGATTATAATGTTTTATTTTTTTTTAATCACTTAACTACAAACTTTAAAATGAACAAGTGGAATATTGTAGGAAAGGACTTCATTTGGACATTTTAAAACAGTTTTTTTTTTGTATGATGCGTCTCGGATTTATGATCGAAAATGTGAGAAACCATTGTCTTTTCATCTATTTCCGAAGTTTGCGAAGCGAACAATCTGATATAATTACGGTTTATAAAGGTATATGTAAATATTAATTATATACGATTTCTCTAAGTACCGCAATTTGTGAGAAATTTTCAAAAAATCTCCAACAATAAACTTAAGCGGTCCAGTTTTTTATCATGATTTTTTTTATACAACTTAAAATGGCAAATAAGCTGCTGGCCCATCTGATAAAAAGTGGTAACCGTCGCCTATAGACATGGACATGTATACCATGTGTAACATCATACCATGGACATAACAGAGTATACTGTGTCGCCTATGATATCCTACATGCGTTGTTTTCCCTCCAGAAAGGAATTATTAGCAATGGAGTTTGACAGCCCCATTGTTAGCAATTTTCGTAAATATTTTTGTATGAAACTTAGAATGGCAAGCAAGCTGACGGCCCACCTGATAGAAAGTGGTAATTGTCGCTTATAGACATGAGCATTGAGCAGTACGGTATAACAGAGTATACTATTTCCCCCATGATACCATGCGTTGTTATGCCTGAGGACTCAGGTGTTATTCCTTTGTACCATGTAAATTTACTGCCATATTCCACCCTTTAAACCGAAACATAGCCATGCAAACACATACGCTTCACGGTAGAAACACGAATAGGACAGAAGTACCCAAGGAAACGACTTTTGTACAAAGTCTCTCTCTGGTAAGGATGTAAAGATGGAGAGCTATCTTTCGGTTTTCTCTATCTACTACCCCACAAAGGCTATATTGTGTTCTGAGGAATTGTTTTAAATGATGCCTATATCCAACTTTTATCATCGCACCGCTCGGCATCGACAGAGAATTCTCACATGCTTGAGTCTAAATGATCACGTACAGTGCGATTTCAAAGGAATTTCCTCCCGTGAACACTCAGGTTGTGGAATGAGCTCCCTGTCGAGGTTTTCTCTAGAGACTATAGTATAGGAGTTCTTCAAAAATAATGTATTAAGGTTTTTTTCAAGGATCGCAACACGCGCGAGGTACTCCTTGTGTGGCAGGCGTTTATAGGCTACAGTGACCGTTTACCATCAGACGGGCTGTATGTTAGTTTGATGCCTTTTTGGTATAAAAAAAAAACTAGTATAGATAGGGTTTATGTCAATAAAAATACATCATACATTTTAATCGTTTATTATTTTTGTACGATCATTAAATTTATCTAATAGTTACGTACGACATATAACACTTTGCAACAAGAATCAAATTATGAGAACGTAAAACATTTCATATTTAATAATTTAATTTTATGTATACCTAAATATACATAAGTATTTATAGCCAATACTAATTATTGCTGTATTCATTTATTACTAATATCTTTACATTATTTACATTTATAAATTAATACCCTTATATATATAAACGAAAACCTCTCATGAACTTAATGTTCAACATATTTATTTCTTTATTAAAATTATATACAAATAAACATTTGAAATATAATGAGATTTCTTACCTTATTACTCATATAAAAAAATAGTGGAACTAAATAATTGAACAATTCAGATGTTTAATATAATTACACTCTCCGTTCTTTTTTACTAAAAAAACTAGATTTTTAGTCCGTTTTGTTTTACTATTAGTACGTAACATATTTTTTAGTTCGTTTTGTTTTACTAGTTGAACAGAACGGATTTTATAGTTCGTTTAGCTTTACTGTACAGAATGGATGTTTTAGTATTGTTCTACTAGTGGTAGAGATCGGATTTTTTCAGTTTGTTTTGTTCTGCTAGTGGAACAGATCGGATATTTTTAGTTCGTTTTGTTCTACTAGTGGAACAGATCGGATATTTTTAGTTCGTTTCGTTCTACTAGTTGAACAAAATCATAATACAATACGGATGTAATAATCACTTTTACTATTGTATGTTTGCATTGTTTTATCACTTTAATTCATATTGAGAATTTAACAAAAAAGAAAGAGACGAAATAGTTCAATATCTAAAATAGGTTTATGAGAGGTTTGACGTTTTTATGAATAAGGGTGTAAGAGAACGTTATGGAAAAAAATTAAAAAAACATTCTTGTTTATGAGTTTGGTAATGATATGCTTAAAATGTGTAAAGATGTAGCGTATAATGATATAACATGTACGGATATATTCATATATCAAGTTATTTAAGTTATAATAAATCTCATTATAGCCATATTGGAAAATGATAATATATAAATAAAATATTAAAGAAGTATGGATTGTTTTTACAAATACAATAATGAAGATATAAAAATAATAATAGGTTTTATTAAAAATAAGTTTACAATTTTAAAAACGTATCCATAAATATAATATATAATTTATTTATAATAATGTATAAAACTTTTTATCCAGTTAATAATACTAATACTATAACAATAATAAAGAAAACTATAAAATTGGTTGATCTATCTTTTATAAAACCTATATAATAAAATATATCTTTCAACAGATTTAAAATGAATTAATTGGACAGTAATCGGCAAACTCAGAGCTTCTAAAAATAGAGCTGTTATAAATAATATATAAAAGTATGATTGCTTTTTGAATAAACAAAACAGAAAGTGAATTAGAAATTGTACATTATATTTTTCGTATTATTCATTAAATATAAAATAAATATATAAATTTGTGTACATATATTTTTATACTTGAATAAAATTAATATTTTTAAATGTACAAATATATAACAAAAAAATATCATGAATATAAAATGTCAAAGAATGATTTCAAAATTATACACGGAGACTGTGCGAAATTATTGCGGATCATGCTCTCTGGGGGACTATTGAGAACGGGAAATGAAATGTAAATGACTTGAGTGTCATCGTGGCTCTCGTTATGTTGAGAACACTTCAATCGACGGTTAGGTGTTATAAATTAATTTTATTTGAGATTATGATGATTTAAAGGTATTCTAATCCATAATATTAAAATGTGTAAAAAGAGCTGTGAAGCATATAAATCATAAGGTAACAGAATCCTGGAAATATCTGCAATAGTTTTCAGAGACACAATTATACATGTAATTAATTATATATATAATTACATAATTGTAATTACACAAACTAATTTATTTTGTGTAATTATAATTAATAACATATTAAATTTATCTAATCCATTTATTTTATTATAGTGTAGAATTATTTGAAAAATATAACAGCATTAAGAAAATATTGGGCGCTAATATTAAATTATTTACATAAAAATACATTCTAAATACTAGTGTTTTTTTTTTTTTCGTTTACAACCATTTTCATTGTGTTCATTCAAATGGTTAATTTATTTACTTAATATTTAATAATAAGGATTTACATAAATATAACACTTAATTGTTACGTATTTGTTTTCCCCTTTTGCAAACAAACATTATATAAAAAATAATAGGCCATTATCGTCATTAGAAAATGCAATAATTTAAAATTAGAAAAATTACATATTTTTTTCTTATTTTATTAATATAAAAATATTTATGAAAAATATTAAAAGCAATAATAAGTTGTGTGAGCAAATTACAAATTTAAAATAATAATGTAGCAAATCAAGGACCGAAATATAAATATGTAACGCCAATGTAAGAGAAGGCAATAAAAGGTATTCAATGATAAAGAATAAAAGAAAAATTAAAACTGAACTTCTAACGGAAAAAATGGCCCGTTATTTTTTAAATTTCATTAAAAACTATAATTATATTTAATGACTAAATCACTAACAAAGAGATGACAGATCCGTCTACCCAATCTAGAAGAAAAAGCGCAAGGGGTTTGCAGCGTGTCGTGATACCACGTCGTGGATCTGTCATATACATTAACTACTTATATAATATCACAATGTATACCTAATAGTTTAATTAATATTATATTTATAATAAACAAGACCATATAAATGAAAATTACAAAATATAATTTCTTTTATTTAAAAAAAATTTGCTTTTCTTTTAAATAAATAATTAAGCAATTTATTAAAAGTTGATTAAAACAAACAAACTCACTTCGAGTACTGCTTGTACTCAAAGTGAGTTTGTTTGTTACCATATAGTGTTTTAATGGCTCAGTCAATCACCATGAAATTTGGTATGCACATAGTATAATATATGGGATGGAAAAGAATATAAGTTACTTTTCATCCCGGTCAGTAAACATATCCCGGTCAAGGCTAGTATATAATGAAAAATATAATAAAACATATATGTGTGAAAGTATTTAAATTAATTTTTAAAACTTAACGCAACGCGATTACAAGGAAATGGCACCTATATAACTGATATACATTATTATCTATTTTTCGACATAGATTGTACCACATCTTGGTTACGGCAGGACTGATGTGACATCTTCTAATAGTCATTGAATTCTATAAAATTAATTTATATATGTGTAAAAAAGGAGAAAAATTTGAAATTTTTAGTGTCACATAATTTTTTTCTTTTAAATATTATATAAATTGTTTAAATCCAGATTTAAGAAATATAGCCCTTTATTAAAAGAGAAATTAAAAGTTATTATAAATCTATTTTAACTATTGGAATGCTTTGTCACTTTCATTCGACTTGAAAATTTAGCATTAAAAAAAAAGAAAACACTTCAATGGCTAAAATAAGTTTATAGAATGTTTGGCGTTTTTATGAACAAGGGGACTAATCCCGATTGATGCTTTAAATTTTTTTCTGACAAAATAGATAGATAGATAGATAGATACTCTTTATTGTTTCCTGCAAAAGATTACAATAGTAAACTTATTATAAATATAAACAATTACAAGAAATAATCACAATAAGAAAACAATGGGCGACCTTATCGCTAAAAGCGATCTCTTCCAGGCAACCTTTGGATGGAGAGGAGTAATTATAAACAGTTTGATCGGAGGCGCGATGAAAATTTTGTTTTATGTTGTATATAGAACATATATACAAAATATTTATTTATACGAGGTATAAGTCTAACTTAAACCCACATTTACGATCAAACTAACGCTAAGAATGTTTGTCTTCCAAGTAATCGTTTAGTAAGTAATAGAATTAACTGGTAAGTGCTTCTTAACGACAGTTTTAAATTTATACATAATTGATTGACGAGAATTTAATGATCTTACTATATTTGGCGTTTCCAAAAATAGTTTAGACTTTATACAAAAGTTTTTTTATATATAATAAAAGAGAAGAGATTTGTTTGTTTTTTATGGACAAACTCAAAAAATACTCAACGGATTTTAAAGATTCTTTCATCTATAGAAAACTACATTATTTTTGAGTTACGTTCGAAAGTTCTATCTACTTATACAAAGTCAGGCCGGATCGCTAGTCATAAATATAGTGATGGTTATTTTAAAAATAAAACATAGTTATAACTCTGCTGTAACACAGATCTTTGGCCAAATTGTATATGTATTAGGTACTTAATAGAATGATGTTGTATTTACCGAAATATTATTAATATTTATATTACATTTCCACATAAGTGAATCGAGTCCTTACACGTTCCACAGAACCCGTTAGCGCCGTGTAAACACCACTCGAGCTGTTAAGGACACAATGTCCCCAAAAGGAATGCTGAATACGACCGTACAATATAGCTGGAGTAATAGTCCATTATTGGATAAAGGTTTCTTTTATTGCACATGTAACACCAACGAGAAACTGCGGCATGTTGATAGCGGAGTTGGGCCAAATAGACCATTACCTGCATGTGACGGGTAAAGGAAGTTAGGAAATGTATTTCTGTAATAACATTTAAGGTTTTCGTCTAAAATGATTCAATTATATTATTATATAGGAATAAAAGTGATTCGTAGCTTCTTAAGAGTTGGAGAAAAAATTATATATTTAATATAAATTGTAAGTATTGAGTGATTGAAAAATTTCGAAGCTGGTGTAATTTGAATTCGCACCTTCTACGTCATGTTAGAGCTAGTGCTCTTATCAATTGAGCTACAGATTCAATGCACATTCGTGTATAGAGGGCGCAAGTTATTAATTAATTTAATTAAAACTAGTAACTAATGAAATATAATTATTTAAGAAAATTAATTATTTTAAATGTATTATATTTTTATGTAATAATTGCGAGCACGAGCTTGACTACACGTCTCGGTTCGCTGACTCGGCGCTCGCATCACAGCCGCTCACGATTAAGGAACACGAATTGATCCCGAAACTAATCGAGTTTTCTCTATATAATTACAAGTAAGTTAAACCGGCAGTTATTACATTTAAGGAAAATGTGTACTTATGAAACATTTAACAATATTATTGTTGATAATGTAAAATTGAATTTAGTTTGTATTTAATTCGTTTTTTATATATTATCTTCTGATAAAGATATATGTTTTTTTTTTAATTAATTTAACTTCGTCATAGAATGTATTAAATAGACTTAGTTTTTATTTGTTCATTGTTATATATGTTTGTGGCTTTTCTACATCATTTTTAAATGATTTTATGTTATTTTAATAAATGACGTATATGTGTTAATTCATTTACTTAATAATAACATTGCTAACCCGTCTTAATGTGATGTAACTAAATTAATTACTGAATTAATCCAAATCATTAATTATTAATTGCCAATTAGTTGATAAAAATAAAATTCGTCCCTAATAGACATTAAAATTTTAATGTGCTAGCTGTATCGAGAACGCTTCAGGCCCTCCAGAGCGTAAAACGGAACGCTCGAAGCGTCGATGCGTGTGACGGGTGAATCGGAACGCACTTTATTCCAAGAGTTTGCAATGTGGAAGCAATTTACTGTCAGTGGCGCTGAAAATCAATTTGCAATGACAATGGTCTCGCAATTTTCTTACTTTACGAAGTACATTAATGATGAATAGAGCAAACAGATGCGAGGTCACGAAAGGGTCAGTCCGCCCTTGATGCTTGTCAAGGATAATTGGATTCAATATTAGTTGTTATCACTAAGAACACGTTATAAATAACTGGCTATTTTGTAAACAGTCCTCACTTTTTTTTTTATACAACTTACACTAACAGTGATTTTTTTTTATACAACTTAGAATGGCAAACAAGCCGACGGTCCACCTGATGGAAAGTGGTATACAGATAGAACCTTGAGCCTCATAAAAGGGTCACCTTTTTGATCGTTTTTTGATCAGTATTCTATATATTTACGCATAAAATGTATTATACCTTGACGTATTATTTAATAAATAAAAAAACGTGTTTACGCATTAAAAAGATGTAGAATTTATAAGACAAAATAAATATAGAAGTTATAAAGGAATCACTCATAAATATTTATCACGGAAAATTGTATGAAAAAGTTGACCCGTTTTTCTCGAAGCATTTCTATGGAGACACTCTATCTATATGACAGTCCACTGTATGATAAATTACGTCAAGTTATTACCATCTCAATTTAAAATTATTGAATTAAAAAAAAACGCACTACGTTATGTTCAGCCAGTTATGTTGCAATTATTTTTCTAGTGTCAGTTGGCACGCGCAGTGTTAAATAAAATTAAAAAATATACATGTAATTATGAATCTATAAATAGAGTGTAAAGTATTTTTTTTATTTAATCTAACATCACTTGAATATATGATTTAAAAAAAGACTACCACATTATTTTTAGCTAGCTTTGCTTTAATTACTTTCATAGTTTTCTTACACTGTATAATTATGTTAAAGTGAATGCTGTGAATACCTATAATAGGCATGTGCATTAAAATTGTATTATATTTAATGTTTGTTATACCTATATGTTATAATGCAATATGCTGTTGGTGTTCCTTAAATAGTGTTTAAATAAATAGTGTTTGTTAGCACGCGTAGTGCCAAACAAATTAAATAAAAAAAATATAAATCTAAGAATAGTGCAAAATTATTCCAGACAAATGATCATACTGAAGATTAGGCAGCATGGTCTCCGACCTTAGCCTGTTCCATAACGGAACAAACGTACTAAAAAAAAGTGCAATATTTAATAAAGGTTTTTAAATACAGAACAGTGATATGATAACTTCAGAAACAAATGAGGTATTTATTTTATAAATTTAAAATGGCCTTTTTTGCTTTTATAATTTGATTTAAAATACTTATATTTCGTTACTCATTCTTTATTAAAATATTTTCATTATTTATATTTGGAACCGGTTTGGAAATTAGATTTTTTTTGGGGTGCATTTATAAAAATTTAAACAATCAGGTATTTATTCAGTATTTATAGAAATAATAAATGCCACAGAGTAATACGCTAAACAGAAACATCACACTATAATGAAAGAAGTAGTCTTTTTAATTTTTTCTACTTTTTTTTTAAGTCACACGCTTTATTTTGGAGGGAACTAATTTGGAGGGGCCTAGTAACATTTGTTCTTTATTTAAATTCGTTGTAGTATTTATAAGACTGTCTTATTGTCTGAGCTCTTTTCCTGAATTGTAGTAAAATTTTGTTAATTTAATCGCTCATTAGCTACGTCAATCTGCGAAGGTATTGAGTTGGTAATTGAAAATAGGATTAAAAAAAAATAACTGCAAGCGGTGAATTCGTTTTACAAATGAACTACTACTGATTTTTCACTTAGTTCCGAGAGTTAAGTACCGTGCATAAAACTAACTATATCCTGCGGTTTTGTCCGCGTAAATCAGTACACAAATTTATATGTACTAATTAGTGTGTACATTAAAGTATTAAATAAACAAATAAATTAGGATATAATCCGTGTACCAAATTTCATTCTTTTTTTTATACTACTTAGAATGGCAAACAAGCTGTCGGCCCACCTGATGGAAAGTGGTAACTGTCGCCTATAGACATGAGCAGTACCATGGACATAACAGAGTATACTGTTTTGCCCATGATACCCCCCATGCGTTGCCATTCCTGAGGACTCAGGTAGTTTTTGCGTGAAATAAATAACAATTTATCCACTATTATAATCTTTCGCTTTTATAATATTAATAGGATTTTGCTAATTGTATTAGATTTTTTTTTTATATTTTTTAAATTCATATTCATACTAAACTGAGTTCTGGATTGCGATTAGAATTCAGTTTTTAAACTTTTTATGTTAAAATACTAATAATTACTGCACATTTTTTTTCCAATAATTATATATTATCAGCCATTTTTAATTACTTATACACTTATAGTGACACGGACTGAAAATCATATTTTACGTTCCGTTTCACGTAACATTGCATGTCATACAATACTAAACGTACAATATCTCTTTGTACTTGTTTGTTGCTGAATACGTTAATTAAAATGGAAAATGTATTTTATATTATGTATAATACGAGTATACTGCGTGAAACGGAATGGGATTGTGATTTCGGGTTTGTGATTTCGAAATCCAAACTCAACGTTTCCCAAGAGGCGTGAATCGGGGTATTTAAATATGTATATTTATTTTACATTATGGGTTTATCTGTTTTTAATGGGTTTTCGAATTATGTAAGTATGTTTTTTATATACTTTATAATATCAAATAAGTATAGGTAATATTATAAATTAATTATTTAAGAATTATTTATATGAATAATTGTAGTCTATAGTAGAGGCATCGAGCACCCGCTTCGACATTTTCAATCACACAATAATTATTACTGAAATATGAGATATTTATATTTTATTAAAATTTCTATACTAATTTGCACTTATGTATTAAAGTAACAAAAGTTGGTCAAAAAACAAAATTTAACACGAATTACTAGATGGCGCTAGAATCGAGACTTGGAGTTTTTGTTGATTATTTTGTAATTAAAGACAATTTGTGACGAAATTTCTAAATTGGCGAGTCGTTTTATTTGTCTTTTACCGATATAGTAATAATTTCTCATAATTTTTGTCTTTATTCTCGTGTATTGTACAATTTTGCAAAAAACACGTACTGGCAAGAAACATTGCAATTGTGTGTGTGCGTTATAATCCATTTAAGAAAAGATCGCGTATTAACTGTCACTTTACATTCATACATATAAATACATACACACAATAAAAGGACTATTCGCCAATTTAGAAATTTTACATCAAATTATCTTTAATTACAAAATAATTAACGAAAATAATTTAGTTATATTTAGTGACGTTGTTTCGATCAATTTCTAATCTAATAATAAAAATATTTAAAAGATCTCTTCGTAGAATGACGCGCGTGATTTAAATAAACAAAGGTGCTTAGTTGTATTTAAATCTATATTTACACTATGGATTAAAGAAAAAAAAAATAATAGAATACTAACAAACATACAGATTGAGCAACTATTATTTTTAAATACAACCTATATTAGTACAGTTAGAAATTACTCACGTGGTTTCAAAATGGCAGTACGAATATAAGAAGCGTTTGTGACTGATAAACAAACACTCATTATTGCATTATATATTTTTTTCCCACCCTTCAAATCGAAACACAGCCATGCAAACACAACTGCTTCACGGTTGAAACACGAATGGGACAATAAGAGAAGAACTATAAGAGGATTTTAGACATTACTACTGAAAATCCATATTTTGGTGGTTTAGACATATTGCAAAGATCTGTGATAAACAAATAAATAGAAATATAGGAGAGAAGTTACTGAATAAGGACACAGGATACGTAGGCATAACACTACAGTCCTCAGGAATGGTGACGATTGAGGGGCGCCATGGGAGTTACAGTGTATTCCATGGTATTCATGGTGTTGTTCATATATATATATATATATATATATATATATATATATATATATATATATATATATATAGGCGGCTGTATTCTACCAGGTGCGCCGTTAAATTTTGTAATTTTAAGTATCATAAAAAAATTCTCGGCAGAGGGCGCCTTCGTCGCAATTAGACACGTCAATTAAATTGAAGATAAGACATGAAATGTTCAATAATTGTTTCGTTATTTCGACCCATTTGTTCTTTGTAGAAAGTTGTACGGTTTCATGAATACGATGGATTTCGTATTGTTATAACCTCCCCTATGTTATATGCAGACGAGCGGATAAATATTTAAATCGCAATTACTGACGATTAATAATCGCAATGTCTGCAAGTTAGTACATTTTTAACGCTCATCAGAATTTATTGAATTAAAAATATAAGTCATTAGTTTTATAAACAGAAATATTGAAATAATCATGGGGAATTAAATAATTCTAATCAAATAATCAGTGTTAAGGACTTTCGTAATGTAACATCTCATTTACAAAAATATATTGAAAATAGTATTTATGTATAATATTTATACATAAAGTTGCAATTTAAATATAAATATGTAAATTTTCTTAAAGTATATTATATTAATGAACAATTATATCTACATAATATTACATACATATAGTATTTGACGCATGTTCAAGATATAAACTTTGAGACTTAGTGAATAACACGAGATCAACTTTAATAATACTTGAATTACCATCCTAATTTAGAAATTACGTCTGACTCTACAATCTTAATAAGCTTTATACAACACAAACTTGTCCATACATTATAATTTAGCATCTAAGTTGAAATGAAAAAGAATTACGACGCTAAGAATTATAATAACCTTTCAATACAGAAAGAGAAATAAACCTCAGATCATACAAAGTGAACCAGTCTCAACATTATCAATTATATAAATTAATTATATATTATATACAAAATAAATTTCAATTATAATAATTTTATTACTCATATCTTTTCATTTAACATTACATATCATAATTCCTTATTATGCAAGTAACAATTTGATGCGATTTAAAATCGCATTTTTTTTCACATTAAACACTACAATTTCACGTTCTACTTAACTGCGACTAATGTTAATATAAATAATGCGATACATATTGTAGAGTCCCTTACATCTAAAGTAGTACTAATCACGTAAATAAATTAAACGATTTTTTTGTCGCACGTCTGTAACTATTATACAAACTGCGCTGTGCCAGTGTCTTTCCAACAGCTAAAACAACAAGGCAGCGCGCACATTAATGTGTTTTTAAATGCGTCTCGGAAATCACGATTAAAATACGCATAAATGAGCGGGTTCAGTGCCGAGTTGAAGTAGCCGATCCAGAAGAGTACGCCGACCACAATAGACGGTGTCTCGCACGGCTCGCCGCACACGTTCGTTGTAACGTACCTATGATGAAATGTTACCTTTATATTAGATATTAGTACAGATTAAAAACTTATTTTTAACCGACTTCAAAAAAAACGGTGGCTCTCAATTCGATTGTATTTTTTGTATGTTTCAAACCTCACAACTCCGTCAATTTTAAACCGATTTGGAAAATTCTTTTTTTAGCTGATAAGATATACTCACAGATCGTTTCTATAGAAATTTTATTAAAATCGCTTCAGTGGTTTAAGTTTAAGACCAAAATAAATTGTTTTGTCTTAGTTGAAGTCGGTTATTTTACGGGACATGATTTTTAATTATTAATATAATATTTATTATGTCATATTTATAAAATGTTTGCTAATATGTGTTTTGTGAGACACAATTTTTAATTATTATTTATATTACAAAATTATAAAAGGACAAATTAAATTAACTAAATGGTGAATTAGGCAAATAAAAACCAAATTAAAATGTAAACATTTATTAGCAAATAGAACAGAAATTTATTGTAACGACAAATAGAATAAAACATTTAGAATAATTTGAAAACTTATTTCAGACCCGATAAAAATGGTGTATAATATTTAATATTATTTAATACTATTATTTATTTGCCATGTTATAATTAGGTTTAATACAAACATTAATTACTTACCATAGAAAAAATGGCAGCCAACATAATAAAAACGCACCAACTATGATGCCGAGTGTGCGCGCCGCCTTATGTTCCGCCCGCCAGGATTTGCCAGCCGCGCGGAGGGACGCACCTGGAGAAATACGGGGAAAATGTTAATATTTCTCCCAGGGGCGGACTTAGGGAAAGTCCATTGCTTATAAGTAATTCATTAGTTAAAATAAATTATATATTTCGTCGCAATGCGATACATATATTTTTATTATTTCTTTATGTCGTGGGAATTGCTTTATATTATTATATGAAGTCCATTATCTCATTTGTATCATAAACAGCGAGCTATATAAGAAAGAAGACAATACTATTATATTATATAATACATTTGTATTATATATATAATTATATTTATGTATTTATGTATTTATACATATGTGTTTTCAATTGTGCAGATATTTTATCTATTTATTTTTAACAATAATATTTAAGTCGATTGGCACACATGTATGTATGTCTGTAACTACGAATAAGCTGTCAGTTTATATCGTATATAAACTGACAAAAATCTCTTTTCGAGATAAACTTGCCCTTGTGTTATATTTAATTATTATTCTAATATAATATATACCGTTTGTGACAATAATGAATAAATAAAGAAAGAAGAAAGAAAATAGTATGAAATTGTTTCCTTAGTCGCTTCTAAACTTATATTTCTGTTGCTAAGCAGCTTACTTGCATCTATTCCTTATGTTGTGTTTGGTCATTAAGGATAAGAAAAATGAGCCATAATATGAGATAGTAGGGTCAAGGGGGAGGCATCCATCCGTTAAGGGGGCATGGGCAATTTTTATTATTCCACCATGTATGTAATAAAGAAAATTGCTTAGCTCAATTTCGCGATCAGATTAGATTGATCGGACTTTATTGCTCTATTGGGCAATACTGAAGTGTTTTCAGTAAATTAGAAGTACGCAGGGAGAGTTGCAGCAGCTATTGGCTACCATTTTTAAAAGCAGATATCATTTGACTTGCAGAACTAAAAGTTAATTGCTAAAGTTGACTAGCCCTAGCTGCGAAGGCGAACATTTTAAAACGCTGTAAAATACATTACAGACCCGAAACTTGTCGTCCTGCCTTTAAACTACTTTTAGAAGCAATTTATAAATTACTAGGTACTTAATTTTATATTTGTTATTTTTTGTATTATATTGAATTGTAATTATTTATATTTTTTTATATCATGAAGGTGGCAAAAAACATACAGCTCGTCTGATGGTAACAGGATGGAGGATGGAACAGCTGTTCAGAGTTGCTTAGGAGTCTAAGGGCTCCCATCGAGTTTGGAATTAGTTAGGCATCTCCCAAAGATACAAATACCATATATATATATATATATATATATATATATATATATATATATATATATATATATATGGTATTATATATAGAATATTAATAAATATTAATTAGGGATGCAATATTATATATATATATATATAATATTGCATCCCTTATTCAGACCCTGGTTTCACAAGTTAGATGTATTTAAATATACAAAATGATCCTTAAAGCCTTGGTAAGTATGTTTATTTTGGGTTTTGCGCTTTTATCGTTGAAGAAAAACTCCGTTGAGTTCAATATCTACAGACGAAAAAGATGAAACGTGGTTACGATATTAACGTATTTTAGAAAATTTTTACGCGAAATAAAGAAGGATTTTTTTTAATTTGCGTATATTTTTTGCGTACGTTACGCGATTTCTTCGTTAATTCTGGACTGAATTTGATCATTTTTTTTTGCAATCGATATAGTTTAATTTGACGATTCACCGTGTGGTCCCGGCATAGAATGGGCCACCCCTTCCATTTTCGTGGGTGTCAACTAAGCAACTAATGAGGCAACTAAGGGAACTTAACGGTCAAGGGATGGGCAACAGCGTCCCTCTTAGAATGTCACCAAAGCCTAACCGCTGTTGCCAATCTGCCTGCCAAATGTGGTAACTACTGGTAACTATTAAATCTTCTAAAGGGGAGGCTTATCTTAGCAGTGGACAGTTAAAAGCTAATATGATGATGATGATGATGAAATTAAAAATCAAGTAGATATGATTTGGAAATATATAATTAAAGATATTTTAAACAACTTCAGTGCAATACGAAATTATTTATAATACTTGTATTGCATTCAACAACTTATTTATTAATAAGCTAGCTCAAACAGTGTTCTGAAGACAATTGCTGATAAAATGGACTGTCCCATCCTAAACTATTGGGTGGGACAGGTTATCAATGCAAGAGCGTTATGACCGCTCATTTACTAACATAGGTTAAGTCAATTTATAACTAACAAAATGAGCTTTATGTAGTCTAATTAAATAAATATTATTATTATTATAAAACATATTTAAAAATTAATTTTATTTTTAATTTTTTTAAATATTTCTGACCTTTTAAAAAATAGCCGCGTGTATAAATAATAATAAAGGTTGCGTTCAACAAAAAAAACTGCCTCTTCGGTGGCCTATTCTATGCTAGGACCACATGGCCAGATTTTCAATTTAATTCAGTAAAAAAAATCTATTGTGCGTTTTAATATTATTGTTACATCTAATAAACCTGTATTCTTATAGTTTTAATTAACTTAACTGAAACTTAGTTTTATCAGAAAACCAATCAACTTATTCCGAAGGCATCGTAATTAGACGAGATGATTTGATCGCGCCAGTTAAATCTGTTTCCAACTAATTTTGCCAAAGTTTATAATTAACTTACGTAATTTGTTACACTATGTACGTATTGTCATTTTTAACTAGACGTGGGTAGTATTGGTAGCACTTCCACACACACACACACACACACACACATATATATATATATATATATATATATATATATATATATATATATAAATAATATATATATAAATAATGTGTGTGTGTGGAAGTATATAATACTACCCACGTCATTTATACCATTAAGTTCCCTAGTATTTATTTATTTTATTTATTTATTTACAGTCTCCTAATACGCTCACCCACGAAACCATCAGTACAATAACACATGTTAGATTAAAATCACATAATAACAATAGAAATAAAAAAAAAAAATATATATATATATATATATATATATATATATATATATATATATATATATATATAAACAATGTTTTTACTATCCCAGAACCATATAATATAGTCTATACTACTAGAATGGGTGATATACTAGTACCGACACCAGTCTCTCACAACGATTGTTTTTAAATCGTAACCTATATCGCTGTCAATTTTATTATGTTGTCATTTTGTGAGAGAAATAAATAAATTATTATATCAGAAATAGAATCACTGGACTCTCACAGAAATATATATATATATATATATATATATATATATATATATATATATATATATATATATATATATATATATATATATATATGCAAATGTACAAAGGCGAGCTTAACTCTAGAAGAGTTCTCTTCCAGCAACACCTAAACTGGAAAGGAGCATCAATGTCAGTGAGTAGAGAAGTGTACAATATTGCGACAATTTTTAAACAAAAGAACTTTTTTTATGCAACTTAGAATGGTAAACAAGCTGACAGCCTACTGATGGTAAGTAATAATCGTCACCTATCGACATGAACAGCACCATGGATATTACAAAATACACTATTATACCCATAGTATTCCTAATGCATTGCCATTTTCGAGGATCACAAAATTATACCCTGTAATTTCACCGCCGTATCCCACTCGAAACCGAAACACAGCCATGCAATACGAGTACACTGCTGCTTTTCAAAAGTACCCATGCGTATTACTTTTGTTCAAAATTTGTCTCGGGAATAAAGGCGAATCCTTATACGAGGGCCCATGCATGTCGAAAGAGTAATTGAAGTAGTGCTAAAAAGCAGTAACGGTTTGTAATCATTCAAAATTCATCTATCATTTCTATTTGCATTATTCTAGTTCCAGAAGAATACTGAAAACTAGATGGATAGATGCACTTAAAGAAGAGTTCAGCTTTTGCAATGATTCTGCTCTTTTATAAATTAATTTCAGAACTTTCTTTGAATAGGTAGTCATATAGGAAAAATTACGGATACTACTTGTATATTACATGTGAGGGTGGCGCCCTCTGATAACAAGAGTTTTTAGACTATCTTTATTATATAGGAAGATCTGTGAAGCGGCTTACCCAACGATGGTTTTACATGCCCTTCGAAGCACAAAAGCATTGATAATTATTTTTAATTGATCCATGAATTTGGAAAATGTTGAGTCTTATATTGGGAATCGATATTTGGATGCTCGGAACTTGAATGTGAATCCAAGCATATTTTGATAGAGCTGGTTAGTTTATTAGGTTTATTTTGTTTAATTCCGCAAACATTAGTATGTGTACGACTGCCAATATGTAAAGATTTGCCAACATGTATACAAACTGAATAATGGTCAGAGACTGATGAAAAATATAGAAGGTTGTAGAACTTAATTAATTTTCAAATGTTGGCAGTCGTCGGTATACTAATATTAGCGGAATTAAACAAAATAAACAAAATAATTTTATTTGACTAACCTATGATATGGATTTTTACAAAATAACATCTAATTTAATAGAATATCCGATTGAGCTGTCACCGATGTCTTTTCCAGATGAAATTTTATAATTTTTTATCTTAGTTCAGAATAGAATAGAAAATATTTATTGGACATAAAATAATATGACGTAAAATCATAAGTATAGAACAAGAAATAAAAGATGACAAAACTGTTTCTGTTTCAACATTAAGTCATCAACAGCGTGCACGTTACCCACTGTCAACAGTGCTGATTTTCTGACAAATTTTCTGTAACATATACAAAAAAATACAGTATATTTGAGCACCTCTTTCTACACTTATTCAGTTGGGGAAAAGAGATTGTTAGTAATGGAGAGGTTAGTGCCCATTGCTATTATTATACCCTATCAGATCGACCATCACGCGGTTCTCTCTGGAAACTATCATGATAAATTTTTGCTGAAATCGTCACAATGGTCTAACTGACCTACCTTTTCATTTTCACCTATCATCCTTCATTGGTGCTCTACCAGTGTATACCGATAGCGCAAGCACCCCACTTGCGCTATCG